ATCTATCTATCTATCTATCTATCTATCTATCTATCTATCTATCTATCTATCTATCTATCTATCTATCTATCTATCTATCTATCTATCTATCTCCATGACCTAGCTCTCGGCACATGTGAATGTAACCCTATCTGGAAATAAGGTTTCTGCAGATGGAATTAAGGATCTCAGATGAAATCCTCCTGGGTTGAGGTTGGGCCCAAAATCTTGTCACAGCATCTATCCAAGAGAAAGAAGTGGGGATGTGACACACAGGGGTGCAGCCTCTGAAGGCAGAGTGGTGAGACTGGGTGGCCGGCCCTAAGCCCGGGGGCCCTGAGGGAGGCACACAGACACCAGAACTGGGGAAAGAGGCACCCCACTGATGCTCCCTGGGAGTCCTGCAAGGAAACACAGCCAACATCTCCACTTCTGACGTCTGGCCTCCAGAACAGGGAGCTCCTTGGTGTGTTCTAAGCGACCCAGTGTGTGGCCGCTGTAGGAAACGAACACCATGAGAACCACTCCCTGGGAGCGGGAGCTGAGCGAAGTCTGCAGAGACTAAGTTCTCAAAATGAGGAAAGCCCAGGGGCACATCCAGGTCTTTTATAAACCAAGTACTGATTAAGTTCTGTTTTGCTTTGTTTTCTCCTCCAGAGGCAAATTCTACAGCCTAAAGCAGGCCCAGAAAATTCCTTAAATAGGTAGTGTGATATATCCCTTCACTGTGTCTGTTGGATTTTAGTTTCCCGCCAGCACTACGCCCCGGGGTTTTTATCTTTCCAGGTGCTACCATTCTGCATCTCTGATCCTGGTGTCTGCCGCCCAGCGACTGGGATGACTGTGTCTAACAGTGTCATTGAGACCTGGGAGATGACGCACACTCTGGCCCTGCGGGCTTACTTGTTGGCAATGAGTACATCAAGGAGCAGTTTTGAATTCCGAGTGGAGAAAACTGGGGGGGATAGAGGCGGGAATCCAGCTCATAGAACCCCAACTCCATTTCCTCTCAGGCATGGAATTTAAGGGACAGGCAAGGAAAAGACGGTGGACGTTGGCTGTCTTCTCAAATTGTTTCTCTTCTCTCTGACAGTATCCAGGCCCGGCTTTGAAAAAGACAAATATGTACTTGTGATGACTGGCCAGGCCTAACCCAAAGCCCTGGGAGACTTATCAGGGCGAAAACAAATGGGGGAGATGGGGTGAAGTCGGGTGAACATCAGGCAAAGGCTGCTGCCTTGGGTGGGCTGTGAGGCGCCAGGCCCAGCAGGTTTGTGATCCATAGGCCAAATCTTCTTGCTGCACTAACGCAGAATTTCTCTCTCCTATGAAATCATCTCTGCAGTGACTGCTCGTTTACCTTCAGGGACACAGTTCCCAAGGAAAGGGGCTGCTTCCCACGGGGGTCTTTACAGCTTTGCCTGTGATTTCTTCTATGGGTCACAGAGGCTGGCATGCGGCCGCGGTTCGCACGGAGAGGGGGGCATTCCACAGGAATGGCCCTGAGTGAGCCTTCGCTCCTTCTGGCCCCCAGCCCCAGCGCGGCATGTCAGGCATGGTGGAGGAAGATGGGGCCTGCTGCTCAGGGCTTCTGCTTTGACTGGGCTGACACAGGGCTGGGGCGTCTCCCCCAAACAAGTAAACGTGGTTTAGCTTAGAACAGTGAGCGTCTCCTACCGCCCTCAGGATCCAGTCTCTAGGTTCCTCTGTAGAGCAGCGGTCCGAGGTACCCTGCACCCCGCTGGAATTCGTCGGCTCCTCCTGTGTAGCTCTCGTGGGCCAAGTTCTCTCCCTCAACGTCATCCCCTACGTTATTTTAAAAGCCTCCCAGAAGAATCACATTCCTAAGCAACCACATTTTCTGGAAGGAAGATGAAAAACATTGGCAATTTTCCACTCACGCTGAGATTTTTCCTGTGTGTCAAGGGTCAGGACTCCAGACGCCAGCTTCTTAATTTTAGCTGTTTAACCCACCGAATCAGGCAGGATCTATATGCAACTCTATAACCAGTTACCTCTTGCAACGAGAAGCCCTAACACCACGCGCATGTAGCCAAGATGGCCACCGCGCTTTCCGCGGCCTTCCTGTCGGGAAGGGAGGCGTTTCTGGCCTCCAGCGTCCAGGCCAGGAGCAGGAGGCCTTCTCAAGAGTTCCACCACCAGCTACAGAAACATCCCATACCCACTAAAAGACCTTCCAGCCCCGGGCTTCCAGAGCGTGTCAGGACTCAAAACAGTTTTTGTCTGGGAAAGTGAAGCTTATTTTTCCCTGCAGCAATGCTGTATTAGGGAAATGGAATTATGAGTCCCTCGTGTTGTCACGTTGGTGAGGAACACTGGTGATGCGGCCTGCGGCTCCGAGTGATGTCTGCCGCCCAAACTCACGGCAGGTGTCAGACGAGAGGCCCTCTCTCAGGACGCACTGCGCTGGACTTACGGCCTCTGCAGGGGTCCACTGCCAAGATCCCCGGGCCCAGCTCAGCCAGCTTGGGCTTCACACGCAGTGAAGGAAGAGAAGGACAGCCCTGCAGGGCGTTCAAGGAGCAGGGACGTTCGTGATGGGCGACGAGTTTACTCTCCAGGCCTTCGTCGGTGCCTCCCAAAGACAACGGTTCCAGGTGTCTGGTCTCTTGACTTCTGCACTTTAGTATGAACTGAGAACATCGCACGGACACAGCCTGGTGACCAGCGTGTCCCAGTCGGTCACTTTAGAGCAGTGGTTCTGAAAGGGGATGAGGGGATTTTACGTCCCTGCTCACCCCCCCCCCCACCTCCCAAGGGCATATGGCAATGTCTGGGAGCATTTTGAGTTGTGATGTCTGGGCGGGGGGTGAGGGGTAGGCGGATTAGGGGCATGACCTCTGCAATCTAGGGGGTGGAGGCCCAGCTCCCTAAGAGGTAAATAATGATCTGTCTGGCCCCTGATGCTGACAGTGCTGAGGCTAAGAAACTGGGTGCCAGCCACAGTGGATACAACCTTCTCACACCTTCCCAGCGCTCCCTAAATCACCACCAAGCTGATGAGGAGGACCCACCCCCACCCCCCAGCAGCATAAGCTGAATTGGTCCCCAGTTAAGAGACCTACTTCATAGAGTTTCCAGAACTGCAACCCTAACCGTCCCTCCATGAGGCGCTTCTGCTGTGTGACAGTCTGGGTTATCACAAATTCCACATGCTCCCTAATCTCACTTTGCAATTCCTGCTCTTTTGGGACTATTTTTTGGCCCCAGGAGTCAGCGAACATCATCAGGCCAAATGTGGTCTCAATGAAGTCTGATTGCACTTTCTTAGCAGTGAACAGCGTCGGCCCCCAACTGGAAATGGAGGGCTTAAACATTTCCAAAGAAAGGGCTCTGCATTTTCAAAACAGGGGTTTCTCCGGATTTTCTTCCATCCAGTGTGCATGAAACCCGTCACCGTGGATCATGTCATTTCCACTGCTCCGGGAAGGACATTCTGACCCTTTGTTTCTTCTTTGTACCCAAATCTGCCACTGGACGATTATTTGATATTGATCAATTGTTCCTACCTAGGCCCATGCACCGTGATTTCTGAGGCCTTTAAATTCCCTCTCCAGCAGCTGCTGTGATTTATTCGCTGACTCTTCTTAATGGCTGTCCTGGCAGATCTTTTAGGCCGGCTCTTAATGTAGTTCTTTAGAGGGCAGCAAGAGAGGGTGGAGTTTCCAGACAGAGCCCTCACCTGTGAGAGTCAGGGCTGCCTGGCTGCATCCCCGGGGAGCAACCTGACCCTGGCCCCCCACCTCCCCTCTCCCTCCTGAAAAGGACAGTTTGTGCTGGAGTTCTGGAAGCGGCCTGCTTGGTATGGCCCTCAGAGAGCTCTACTCGGACAGCAAAGGGTGATGTGGCCAGCACCAGAGGTCAGGGGACAGGTGTCACATCATCGGTCAGGGGCGAGGCAGAACCAAGGTGGGGAACACTGGCTGGAGTGCTGAGACCCCCCACAGAAGCCTCCACACTGCTTCTTTCATTCCCCTCAGGAGTGGGAGAGGGGCAGAAGAGAGGGGCTCTCCTCACGTGAAGCCCTAAGTGTTGCGATGGTGTGGACTGAAATGCATGAAGACTGACATACTCTGTTGTGCGCAT